TGATTTTTATAATACTATATGTAAATAATTTATATATTGGATTCAATTCATATATATATGAATAATAAACATAAAAATATTTTAAAATGGTAATATACTAATGTTTATAAAAATTGTGACCACTTATCAATCAAAATTGATTGAAAATAATCTTTAAAACAATTCGAATATAAATTAGAATTTTAGCAATATACTAGTAATAACTTCTATTTTATGCAAAAATCATGAGGTCCGAACCGGTTAACAGCATTTTAATGGTTCGTTCAGGTTCGGCTATAAAATCTTTTACGATTTAGGCTCGGTTCGATAAAAAATAGTGGATAATACCGGTTCAGGTGGTTTGGTTTGGATCCCTGCTTATTTTATATCCTTTTGTTTTTACTTAATTAATTAAAACTGGATACTTTATTTAACAAAGAGAAAAATATAGTCTCTTTAAATATATAAAATATATTTATATTTATAACAATATAAAATAAAAACTATCAAAAATAAACTAATTATATTAATGTTTACATGCCCCCCCCCAAAAAAAATTCCCCTTCTTGGATAGCCTGCACAGGTTTCACTTCTATCTATTCACCATCGACCCATGGTCTTTTCTTGGTGTGAGCTGTCCCAGAGCAAGTTGGTATTATTAGAGTTAATGCTGGTTATAGACAGTTGACTACATGGGGGACAATTCATCTTTATATGGCTAGTCACTTGATACCTGTTTCACCCTAGCTTGAATATTTAACAACTACGCCATTGGAACTATTGTGGAACTGAGTATAATATCTGGTGTAGTTCAGGGTTGCCAGGTCTCCCAACCCATCAGTAGGATACTCCTACAATTTTTAGCTTACATGCAGACATCTAAATCTACCTCAGAAATCTCCTGCAATTTTAAAATATCTCCCTGCATTAAATTTTTTTATTATATTAACGTATTTAATATATAAATAATAATTTTGAGAAACAGTATTTGATTAATATTTTTTAAACAAATTTTAATTTTTTTTCATAAAACATGTCTTGGTTTGTTTATTTCCTTCTTCCTAATATGTTTTATATAATAATAAAACAAAGTAATAATGCATGCGTTTGTGTTACCTAATTCTAGGAATAAGGATAGAAACATTTTATATGAACTGGACTATATTTCCTTGAGGTTGATTCTCTTTTCTTTCATTATATTCATTTAAATACAAAACATAATTATTATAAATTATATTGGATTTATTTCTATAAGATAATTATTTTAGTTATTATAGTTCATTTTGAGTAAGAGCAATCCTATTCCAACAAATGTCAAACACAAGCACCAAATTATAATATGGAATGGTGTGAGTTAGTATGAAATGTCCCTATCAGATGATTATCACTAATACCCGCCATTAATAGAATGCTAAAATGTCATGAACCTTTAAAAAGATATTTTTAAATGGAAATTATAAAAGCTGTTCAAATATTTTAAAATAATTTTTCGAAAATGAATTGGCAGAAGTAAAATTTAGGCATGGTTTCACATTTGGAAATCTACATGTAGTTAATATGTAATAGCAATCAGAAAAATCTTCATTAATACATATTCACAAAATTATGTTACATCTATGTTAATCTGTAAAGCTAAAAATTTTAAATAAATTTTACAGCTCTAATGTTAAAAATGTTTCATTTGTTTAAATGTTGCCCTAATTAATTGATTTTTAAATGAAGCAGATATTTTTACTAAAACAATTTTAGTGTATTAGCAATCAAAATTTGAGGTTGATAATTTTATTTACAAATGTATAAATGATACGACTTTTAAATAAAAATCATCAATTGATGGATTTTATAATTTGAAAAATAAATTAGATATTGATAACTTGTTCGAAGAGAATGTTACTCTATTTTTTATAATCCCCCAGAATACTCCAAATAAATAGTCCAATTGGAGAAATGGGTATAATTTTTTTATAAATTTCTCCAGCAATTTGAAAATTTTGCCCTGGCAACCTTGGTCATAACTGAAAGCTCTCCAAGTACCCCCTCCCCGCTTGATTCCAAATACACAAATCACCTGCCCTAGGCTAAATATTTGCCAGAATGCTAGTTATCTCAAGCAAATATGCTCCCATATTTACATACTGGGTATAGATAAAATTATCCCCAACGTTCAACTGAAAATGTTACAGATTACAGGAGAAGACCATATAAAAAGGAATTGTCCTCTGTGTGGTATGGTTGATGGGCAGAAACAACTCAAATACTAACTGTACTCCAAGACAAGTCATGTCCAGTGGCCTCTACAAAAGGAGGGGGGTCCAAAGTAGAGGTCTGTAGCCCACCCAATGTTTTAAAAATTTTTTAACCCGCCCACCCATAGTTTTCAAAAAAAATATCCCATTTGTCTAAAATTCCTTACCCTCCCGCCCATTATTTATAAAAATTTTTAACCCATTTATAACATTTAATAATGGCCATTCTTTCAATTTTTTAAGCATCTAATAAAAATATTTCAGCATTACACCTCTACAAAAAGTTTATAATTTAGAAAATTAATCTAAGCTTAAAAAAATATTCAATTTAAATTATGAACAATTTTGATCAAATAGAATATTTATGAAATAAATATAAATATAAAATTGATATTATATGTAATTATAATGCAAAAATAATAATGAATCGACATTTTCTGGATTCAAACACCTTCTTCTTTGTTCTAAAAACCTTCCAGCAATGCTAAAGTTCAGGCACTAGTTGCAGGAATTGCCAATATTTTTCTTCCTAATCTTGATAGCTTTGGTAAATCTCTTGTCATTTCCACCAAAGTAGGATATCCATTTGAAGTATATCCTCTTCCTCAAGTGAGATCCGGATGTCCCGTATGCAATATATGTAAAACTCTTTTTTAAAGTGAGTACGAAGATTAATCTGCCATTCCCAAATAAAACACCATGCTATTTTCGTAATCATTTCATGCTATTCGGAATAGTAACAGAACAATATACTATACAGTTTTATAAACCAGACCTCGAGTTAATATTAGAAACAGATGCATCTAACCAAAGATTTGGAGCTGTATTCATGCAAAAATATGATAATGGTAACGAATTTCAAATAGCTTACACCTCAAGAACTTTACAAGACGCTAAAAAGAATTATTCTACAATGGACAAAGAAGCAAAAGAAATAATAAACGGCATAGAAATATCTCATAACTTTTTATATGGACGAAAATTTAAAATTTGAACAGACCACAAATTTTTCTTTAGTTTGTTTTTGAACAAAAATTTTAAATTTCCTTAACCCGCCCACCTGCCCTCAGAAAATTTTTTATCCGCTAACCCACCCGTTCACTTAGATGGGCGGGTGGGCCAAAACCCTGCCCAATGCAGACCTCTAGTCCAAAGCAATTTGTTTCTAAAAATTTGAGTGGGGGTATTTTTTTAAAATCTAATTCTTTTATTGTTTTACTACATTCATCCTTAACCAAGTGATTTCTGGTTTACATATTAAATTAAATAATAAGTGGGGGTCTTATTATTACATTTTAATAAATTTTGGTCAATGTTTAACAAATTAGGTTGTTATCCAAGATTCCTTGATAAAATTATTTTTCCAATTCAAAATATGCCCAACAATATTAACGAAAAGAAATACAAATGATTAATTAATAATTGCAAATGGTATAATATAAGATATGATAAATGGACAAACCACATTCGAAAAAGGCATGGTGGGCTTGATTTTAACGAAATAAAGAAAAGATTTGAAATAGTAGCTTTATGAATATTTTTCAAAATTGGACAAATAGCAAAGTAATTTTTTTATACCATTTAAATTCAAGTAAAATTTTTGACGAAATGTTGAAATTTAGGAATATTTATAAGATAGCTAAATCGGGGGATGTAATTATGATACATGACCTAGAGGTTAGATTTGTCAGATTCTGAAAATTGTAAATTTATATTAAAATATTTTTACTATTATTTAGTTTCTTCTTCTGATGATAATTCTGAGACTTATGATTCAGACTGAAAAAATTATTCATTTATTTTACCTTATTATCTACTTTAAAATTTTTTGCTTACCCCAATTTAACAATTTTATATAAATATTTATTAACCATTCCTACTATCTCATGTACTGATAAAAGGGTCATGAGTAAAATTAAATTAATAAGATCCATTCTTAATAATTTAACCATTTTATCAATAGAAATTTTTTTATTTAAACAATTAAATGATGAAATTTTAAATTCTTTCACTTTAACTTCCCCTAATTTGTCTAATTATTAATTTAAAAATATATTTTTTAAATTATTTTTGAAATTTATGGGAGTAAAAAAATAATTAACTATTTTTTTGAAGGGGGGGGGGTATTTTCATGGAGGTATTCTTCTTCCATCGCTCAGAAAGTGAAAGGGCCACTAATAATGTCAAGGAGGTATATCTAAGGATCAGTGCTAAATTTGTTGGAGTAAAACCTGTGCGGCTATCCAAGAGGTGAATTGACTCAATGCATCTAGAATACTGTGGTAAAGAACAAAGTAATGAACTTGATGGACTTGGCTTCTGAAATTGAGTTTAAAAGCCTAATTTTTAAAAAGTCCCTTGTTGTGAACATTAATATAGTTTTTGTTTATTTCATATTTGAAAAAGATGTCAATTTTTTTTTATAAAATATATATCAAAGTAGTACAAGATCTTATTTTTTATATGTAAATTATAAAAATTCTATATAAAAATGTTTAATAAAGTATCCATTTTTAATAAATTATTTTTAAAAAATAAGGAGAAAAAAATAAACTAAAAAAATATTAAATAAAAAGAAAAGGATATTAAATAATTATGAAAAAAAGAGGCTTCAAAATTTAGATATTATAAAATAATTAGGAAAATAAGATTATAAAATAAAGAGGTTTTAATTTTTATGAAATATTAATCATATTTTTAATAACAAATTTTTATGGCATAAGAGAATCTATCAGTAACAGTATTGTTATTTATATAGATAAAACTTGTTTTTACTTGTCTATTTGAAGTTTATGGTTAGAAAGGTATTCAAAATATGAAAAGGCAAATGCTCTAAAAAAACAGTTTCCATCACCTCGCACTCTCCTTATAAAGGCATATTTATTAGATAACTCCTAATATCTAAGTATTGTACAAAAATAAGTGTATTATAAATATATTCACCTTTAATTTTTCAATATATAGAGGGTCATTATCATAATCTTTAAATATGTCTTCAAATTTTTGTTTTTCTCCAATTAATTTATATGTACTTGCAATCTAAAAATATAAAGGTGAAGCATAAAAATTAAACTTCTTCTTCCAAACGCTTCTGATATGTTAATATGTTTTCATCGTGCTCATAAATGTCTATGATATTTTTAATTTACTATTATATATTATCGAATTACTTTTACTTTCGACAGGTAGCATTAAAATTATTATACTGAATCTTGGAATGCCAAAATGAAACGATTGACATTTTGTTATAAGTTATATTGTGACCTGTGAAATCTGACATAGAAAAAGGTCTCATGTAAAGCAGATAACAAATTTTTAATTAAGTTCTTTATTACTTATTAAATTTTCTATTTTAAATTTAATTTTTGAAAGCAGAATCTAAATTATTTACCGTACACACATTACAATCAAGGGTTTATTGCGAGGGAGGCAAGAGTGGGCTCAACAATCTCGCTAATTTTTTTTTATTTTTTTCCTCCTTTACAAAATATGAGGGGGAGCTAATCCTTCTCCCACCTTCCTGTCAATTTTTTTTTCCAAAAGTGTTAAGAATCCCTTTCTTCTTGTTATTGTTATAAAAATTTCAATAAAAATTTCATTTTTATTGTAAAAATCTTTTTGAAATTATTTTTAGAGTCACATTGAAGAGATAGAGAGATGTTTTTTTTTCAATATTTTTATAGAAATCTTTATATCACTGCTATTTCTGATTTAAAATAAAGAGTGAGGTTTTTACCAACAAGTATTGGTGATAAATAGCTGCATTACTTTAAAAAGACTAAACTGAATTTTTAAGAGAAAGCTATCATTTTAGACTAGATCTAGGTTTAAACCCAAATGTGAAAAATATATTAGTGCCTCAAGTCTTTGCGAATTTTCTCAACGGTTAGGATTTAGTTGGATTAACATAACTACAGGCAAGAAATAAAAGGATTTTCAGGGGCTTCTCTGGCCTTAACAATCTCAGGGGGCACAACTAAAAAAAATTTATGGGGGGGGGGACGAAGCCCCCCATACCCCCCATTTGCGGGCTTTCGGCCCGCTTTTGCTCGGACTTCGGCCGGATTTTATATTAATATATTTTATTTTTATAAAATTTGCTAACTCTGAATAATTATTCTGAATTTCATATTTTTTCATTTATTATATTATGCATACAAATAAACTAGCATATAAAACAATACAAGACATTTCTATTTAATACAAAATCTATTTATTACAGTATAAAATATTTTCGATTGATATAAAAATTTTTTGACAAATGATAAAAAAGGCTAATTAACATACATATGCTTCAATTGATAATGGTTTTAAAAACTACATATTATAAAATTAGCAACTTACATTGACAAAAGGTCAAGAAACCAATATAACACTATGTTACCATTTTTAGACAATGTTTTATAGAATGGACTAATAAGGAAAAATTTATAGGCCTAACCAAATTCTTGAAAAAGAGAATATAAACGACTAATCCAAATCATAAAACTATATGGTGGTTAGAGCTTCCTCTTAAATGACGTGATGGAAGTAGATAAGTAATTGAGAAAAAAACTGTGAGATATTAAATTTCTAAAAGATTATCTTCCATTTTTAATGGTATATAAACAACTACACAGTTGACCATTATTGCTTATAAAATATGCAATATATGCTCTCAGCAGCTACTATATTAACTTATATCAGAATTTATTTTGCTAGATAAATTGATAAAACAAAAACACTAAAAATCTTTAGAAGAAATTATGCAAATCTACTGAAGCCTTAAGTTATTTACAAGGAAGGGATGCCATATTAGAAATGAAACAGTTTGTAACTATAAAATAAGAACCAGAGTGATATGATATGATAAAAGAAATTAATTAAGATTTTATATATTATTGTTGCACCACCTCTAGTTGGTATATTATATCTTGAAATAGTAGTAAGTATTTTGTAATAATATCAAAAATATACTAGTATTAAAAATTTAACTCAAAACTGTTTTTCAAATAAGAAAAAAAATAGCTTTCCTAAAAACACGTAAAAAAGGGAAGAAAAGTTATCTAATTTATTACATCCATTCTGGGATAAATAATATGTTAAATTTTAAATAATATTTCTAAATAAATAGATGGCGATAAATATTTGATAGCAATTTATTGCTTATATTTATTATCAAAAGTTTATTAGTGAAATTTATTAAAATATTAACTGTAATATATTATATAACTGTCAAATACGTTTGTAAAGTGCTATTTAACCTAATATTTTATAACAAATTATATCTAATAGAGGATTATTAACTATATGTTTACTTTTGTTATAAATTAATCTCTTATACTTATGGATTTGGACCTTGAAAATAATTTTAAGAAGAGGCATGGTAATTAAATTTAAATATCAATAATATAATTGATTAGTGATTTTGAACTCGGCTAATTACAATTAAATTTGTTAATTTTCATTTAATATTTATTTAATTAGGGTTATATAATAATTTAAATAATAAAAGTCAATAAAGCTTCAACTGTTAATGCTAAATTAATATTTAGTGAGTGATATTAATATTCTATTTTTAGCACAGAATTTGGTTGCAAGTTGACATAGTGAAAATATAATTTATAAGTATTAATCTAATCTAATAAATAAATAGTATTCATTTAAGAATAATTTAGGTAGACTTATTAATTTTTAAATTATAAAATTAAATCTATATATTACTCAATAGTAATATAAAAGAAATTATTCAGTGGGCAATTAAAAAAATTTATTTTTAGTTCAACGGGGTATTAAGGAGCCATTAAAAAAAAATTTTTTTGCTTCAGGGGGCTATTCAAAATTTTCAGGTAGCTCGAGCCCCTGCGCCCCCCCCCTAGCGACGCCACTGAGGATTTTAACAAAATCTCTTAAATTAAATAGCAATTTAAAATTTTCAAATTGGTATAAGCCGTTAGTTATTATAAAAATTTACTTTGAAAGAAATAATAAATTGAAATATTTTTCTATCCGGTTCTTAGGTGTCCTTTTGCCAGTTAACCGTTTTTTTATTGATTGATTTATTAAAAAAAATCATTTGAAAATGTTGACAATAATAAAATTTTTGGTAGCAAACCTCCTCCAAAATCTACCTATGCCCCTCCAAAAATTCTAATTCAACTCTTTCAGGTCTCATGGATATTTAGCCCTGGAATAATAAATAATCTTTAATAGGGGATATAGTTACTACCCGTATTCTAAATTTTATGCACGAACGTGTAACTTAAATATGACTAAAATGTTTGTGAATGAATGAATTATAAATATTTATGAATAAATTTTTTTATCATTTAATGTTAACTTCTACAAATAGTATTTATTTTTACTTTACTCACCAGATTTAGAAATTCTACTTTTATCTTAAAAAGATCCAAAACAGTTGTATCAAAAATAGACCAATTTATAATTTCTCAAGAAAGAATTAGCAGTCCCGTTTAATGGATAGCTTTGAAAATGAGAATAAAGGAGAATAAATTTTAAACTTTTTATTTTAGAAACTTTTTCTAATACATGACCTACGAACCCAGATGCCCGATTTGTGAATAGTAAATAAAAAGATTTAAATTAAATATTGATGCGCTTTGACAATATAACAATGAAGAACAGTGACGTAACCAGGAATTATTCATAAGACCGGGGGGGGGGGGGCTGTTGAAATTTTTTTAGGTTTTAGCCCCCAAATTCCGCTTTGCCGGTCATAGATCTGGTCCTCCTATAAATAATACTATATATTATTGACTTTTCCATGGTTATCTTTATATATATCTCCATTAAAGTTGGCTGAACAATTGGAAGTAATAATTTTAAAATATACCAGTGTTTTGTGCTAGTTCTAACTATTACAATAGTTCCCAAAATTATTAAAAATTAATATACAAGGTTTAATTACATCCATTTTTATTTATTTCTTTTTCAATTTTATCACATTAAAAAAATTAACATTTAGGATTTCAAAATATAATAATAATCAATAATAATTATCGTAATAATTTATCAATGCAATTATATCAAATATATATTATTATAATTTTAAAAAATCCATATACATAGAACATATTCCTTATTTTTCATAGATATTTTCAGGCCTATTTTACATTATACATTTTTAATAACTATTTATATTATTAATTAATGATTTTGTACTTTCCTTATTTATCCAGCTCATTAATGGTCATTTCCGCAAACTCTTCTTTCATATCTTCAGTAACCAAAATTGTTTTGGGCGTAGGTCTTCGCATCTTTGGTTCATAAACTCGTTTCATAAGAATTTTTCTGAAATTGAAATTTTTTTGCTGAGCTATTGGCATCGGCGCCACTTTCTTCACCATTAATTTGGGTGAAGATTGAAAAGCTTGGGTCATTCCTTATACTGTCAAGGGATTATAAAAGGTTGATCTACATTGGTTCTGATTACTTGGATAACCAACTACTTTCATTTCCACCACAAGAATAACAAATCAGACGAATTTGTTGTGTTGGGAAATCATTGATTGAATGGGAATTTGTCTGGCGAGGAAATAGTTTTTCTCATTTCCAATTTGATCTGAGAGTTCATACTATATTTAGCAAGCGAACTTTCCATGGGAGCCACATTATTTGTAACATGGTATTCGCTATACGTATATAATAAGTCTCCACTCCATTTCTAATTTTTAAATAACTTTCACATTACCCCTCTTTTATTTATTATTTGATACAATTGAATTATATTCATTTAATCCTATCATTTTTTTAATATTTTATTAATAACTAATTAATAAACTATATTTATACCTTTTACTCCCTTATAAATTTTTTAATGTCATTATTCCACCATTTCATCATAAATTTAATTAACAATTTTATAATTTATTCCCTTTGATGAAACACAATTTATAGTATTACTTTCCTTTTTTCCATTTTTACTTTTCTCCCTTTAAAATTTTATAATTTTACCAACTTAATTTTTCTTATCTATTCTCTTATCACCATTTGTTGCCATTTAATAATTATATATATTTTCAACAATATTCACAATTTTCCCGATAAAAAGTTTAACTTATCAAACTGCACATGTGAATCTGTATTTTTATAAATTGGTATTTATTTTAATATAATACATTTACTAAGTAACATTTAAAATAAGCAATCAATAGCGTTTTAACCAAAATTTATATATGATGATCTCATCTCATCTCCAATATTTGACTAAGCGACCCATAGTGATATAACCCCAATTTTTTTTTCATAAATATACA